CACAATGATGAGCCCGTTGCCCATCAGACACAGGAGGTAGAGCACAAAGATACCAGCATGCATCACACCTTCCATTCCCCTAACTCTTGGCAATCCCACAAGGATAAATGCAGTGACTCTTGTGCAGTTGGTCAAATTCATGTTCTTCTATTAGAAAGAGAGAAAAGACAGAATCTTCATTGAAAGAAGATTTAGCCATATTTCTAAAAACATATTTCATACAGCAATACCGTGATTGCAACACAGAGAATATAAGACTGGATTTTCGCATCAAGTTAATGAAAGCTGTGCATAGCTATGGTTGTTTAATGAAGCCTTTAAAGATAGATATTTGAATATAATTTATTATTCATAAAGGCCCATTACTGGAATCACAGAAAACATGAGGCAGAAACCAAAGAAACACTATTATACCTTAGTGTGGTATGTGAACTTGGCCACTTTCGTAAAATAAGATATCATTTGGGGATTCTTAAATATACAATGACATTTTTGGAAGTCGTAGTCTAGAGGTGTATATTTTGATACAAAATGGAACTTGGGAACTTAGGACTTCTGAGATGACAGAGTCCCATACCTCCGGGCAGAAGCCTTATTTAAATTGGTAGTTATCTAAAGAACAGAGCAGTAAAATACTGAAGAACAAAATATGGAGTGTGGTAGAAATATGATGATTAAAAAAAAAGAATATTTATAGAGGACATGCAACACAGAGAGGTGGTTTTAGAGCAAATGAAGAGACAAGTGATGAATGATTTAGTGAAGCCAAATTACTGGAAAAGAGTAAGAAAAAGATGGAAGACTATGTTATGCAGCAAAGGGAATATTATCTGAGATTCTCAAGAAAAAATAACATATATGCACATGGTAGAGACAATGGATTCATCTATGGTCATAAAAAGCATCCACCAATAGAAATGGTTTGAAAAATAGATTAGTTCAATTCCTTTCTCTCCATTGTCCCACAATGAGCTGGATTTTCTCTTTCCCCTTCTATGAAAAAAAATCAGGAATACATTTCCATACCACACACCCAATCTTTTGTGGAAGTAACAAGTCAAGACCTCGGCAGTGATGGATGGGCTGAACCGCTTTTCCTGCCCAGGTTATTCTGCACAATCTTTTTCCTGTCATAGCTTGTTTGCCTGTATCCCTATCCCATAAGAAACACGATCAATAGTACCATAATTGAGATAATGGAGATGTAAATAAATCAAGGACTATAGAAATAGAAAAGCTAAACTGTTTCTCTCTGCGGGTGAATGTTTGTATGTAATAAGTTGTAACTACTTCTGCAGGGAAATTCTGTTCCATGTGCTCCTTCTATAAAACATGGACCTAAAGATCTCTCCAACTTTACCTCGATTTCTTCATACTTCGTTACCTGCCTTGTGTTCTCTAAATGCCTTTCTCTCCATCTCTCCTCCTCTCCATCAAGAAAGTGTTTTGAACAGCCTCAGAAAATGATGCATCATGTGTTGGGGGAAAAATTGTAGACTTCTTAAAATATTATTTTCCTTACTGTTTAAAGAAGATAGAGCTGATTGCATCATAGAAGGATCCTCTACAGAACCATGGGATACACTTTCTAAGGACATTTGCTTTTAATTTCCCATGAGTATCCATGCACTAAACCTAGAATATACTCAAGGTTTCTATCATTTGGACCACATTTCAAGTTCCATCCCAAGATAGAAGTCCTCTGGAGGCATTCCAACAAGAACAAACTCAGCGACTCTTTTACAGTTGGTTTAATTGACATTCCTCTTCAACTGCAAAAAGAGGGAATGTAACTCCTTCACTGATGCAGCACTTAATTTTCTAAACTAAGGATGAGATACAATGTCTAGAGATATTGGTCTCTTAATTCACATAAATACTGTATACCCTACCTAGAATATATCATTTTGAATCAGCATGACTCATGCCTGGTTTTATTTGGACAAAATTCCAAGTACCATTCCCAGAAATGCAGGCTTCAATACATTATTACCTTTTGAAAGTCTCTTCAAAGTCTCAATAAAAGAGGGAAGGGATGTGTAACAGTGATGATGTTCTTCACCCCATTTTCATACCTTTTTCCCCATTCGTTTTTCCATGGAATTCAAGGTGAAGACACTCACCATAGCATATTCAGGACTCATAGACTTGAAATCCCCTTGAGGTACAGTGGTGGGAAGGCAAGATAATTTAGGGAATCAGAAGTGTTATACTTTAGTGAAGTGTTTTTCAAACTTGGCAACTTTAATGGAGTCGACTAGAACCCCCAGAATTCCCCAGCCAGCATATCTGATCGTCATAAAGAGGACACCAAACATTCCCTGTGCTTTGTGACATTATCATCCAATGATGCATAGTACATAATTGTGTTATATATTGTATGAAATCATGATGCATTCAATGTTGGGTCCCACACCATCTCCCGTTGATTGATCTGCCCTAAAAATGGTGGCCTCCTCATGCTTGGTCATATTTAGGTGGACACTAAATTGTATCTCTTGGGATACTTCAGTTTTGACTCTTCCACCAAAATAGGAGCAGGAGGTGGAATTCAATGTCCTAAGTGTCCCTTCCAACTCTGAGATTTTCTGATGACATAATTCTATGTGGCAGTAGAATTTTGCTTCAGAGTGGAGGCCACAAACTGTGGGATCTAGAATGGACAGAGTAAGTCAGTTCAGATGGAAAATAAAATGATAACATGCATAAACCTAACCATGTTACACCATACAAGAATTTTTTTTAGGGTCAAGGTTCACAATTTGATTCTGCTTCCGGATAGACACTTTATTCTATTCCCCAGTTTTTTCTATTCCTGTAGCATTATCTGTGTTCGGTTTGTAATCCTCACAGAAAGTTCATCCGTTTATAACATTTGGAAAACTCTGCAGATACCCCATCTTACATGTAAAGGATACAATGCAGGAACATAAGGACATGAATGTCAAGAAGGATTTATTTCTTCTCAGATTGACATCCCTCCACTATTTTCCCACAAGAAGTGCTAACAGGGAGGTGACTGACCCAAAGTCACCCGTGAGCTTCCAGGTCTAATGGGGAGCTGAACCTGTCCCTCTCCATTCCAGCCCAACACTTCAGCCACTATACCACACATTTTAGCATGCAGATCTTCCAAGAAATTCAATCCAAGGAAAAGGCTTAGAAAATAGACTTTATTTAAAACACATCATGATACAAAGTCAATACATTATAATGAAATTAATGTCCCAAATGCTGTGGAATCTTCACCACTCAGTCTTCATCAGTGATTGCCTAGAGATGGGGAAGAAACAAACTGACCTTCCATCTGACTGGATAGTTGCATATGGTCTTATCTTTGAACCAAGAGCCAGTCTGATCTAGTGTTCAGGCCCCAGCCTAGAAAGCAGGAGACTGAGAGCGCCAATCCTGCCTAAGGATGAAAACTGCCGGGGTGATTTTGGGCCAGTTACTCTCTCTCAGCCCAACTCGCCACACATGGTTGTTATTGTGGGGAAAATA